AAAAGTATGGATCAACGGATAGGATGAAGTCTCGATGCTCCAGCCAATGAGAGTGAGTTCTTTTGAGCCACGTTAATGGCATGCTGATGTTTGATTGGTTGCTGGCGATGACGTTTGCTTGGGCCGTTGATGTCATCATCGACATCAACTACATCAACAGCAGGTGACGGGAAGAAAAGTTATCTCTCAATAGTTTGTCTGAGACGGATGTTGGTGTACTTTGAAGTTTCAACAGGTACCTCCAACGTCGTATCGTTAATAAGGTGTGGCCAGTTGTAGGCTTGATAAAATATATTTATGGCTCTGATATTGCCGTTGTCGTTCATTGAAGAGATTGCTAATTAGGAAGTTCGTGACGAGCAGCTTAGTTGGCAAAAATTTGAAAAAAAAAATTATTTTTCAAGTTTTTGCTTTTGAATTTGATGAAGTTACGTCGTGTTGTCGTCATGTTTGTTGTTGTAGTTGTTTTTGATTTGTTGTTGTTGTTTGTTGTTGGTGTGCTTCAGCTTGTATGTTATGTGGCTAGTGTTGTTACAGTAAAAATGGTTTCTATATGTTGTCATTATGTTGTTTCATTGGATCAGTGGTGGCTGTGAGCCTTTGTTGGAAGTGTAACGAAAATGAACTTAGTTGTTGTTGTTGTTGATATATTTGCGTCTTGTTTTGTTGTTGTTCTGTTGATGCTTTGTTGATGCTGCTGCTGCTGTTTTTGATGTCGTGTCATGGGTAGTAACATTTGCAGGTTGTTGGTTGCCCAACTTCACACGAATCATGCTCTCTGAAGATAAATTCACCGCTGAAGTTAATGCTGATTAAGGATGACGTCGTTGATTTTTATTGAAGAATTTTTAAGTCAACAATTTTTTGGTGAAGTCATTAGAGTTTTATTTCAAAACGTTTCAAAGGCAATAAGAATCTAGCCACAACTTAAGCAGTTTATTATTCACCATTCAGCATTACTGTCCAAAAATTTTTAGACCCAATTCAATAAAAAATTACTGCGATAAAATTAATTCAATGGTATTGACTTGGTATTTTAATGGTATTGATATTTAACTTGCTTCATCACACTTTTGAATAAATTTTGAAAAATAATATTGAAAATACACAAATACATATTCACAGTGATGAATGAACGAAAGAACGAATGAATGAACAAACGAACGAACGAATAAATGAATGAACGAATAAATAAATAATAAAAACCAACCGTTATGCTAGAGATGATTTAGTAAATAGAAATCCACTAAAATTGCTCACATGCCATCGTCAGCAGAGCCAACTTTTGATAGGCCCTCAAACATGATGCATGCATGCATGCACACGCAAGCAATTAATTGCTGGTGGACTATTATATCTTGCAGCTGTTTGTGGTTGTTGTTATGGTTGCCGGGATTGATGATGACGACGACGATGACGACGAAAATGATGATAAGAATGATGACAATAACCACATAATGATAATGATGGTGTATCAATGATGTGTTATCACAAAAACAAATGTGATGAACATGGTGATGACAATGAAATAATGACTATGATGATGATGATGATGATGACGATGATGACGACGACGACGACGATGATGATGATGATGGTGATGATGATGATGATGGTGATGATGATGATGATAGTGATGATGGTGATGATGATGATGGGAATTTTAAAAATAGAATTGATTAGGATTTAGCTGGAGTGAAGAGGACCTCGATTGGGAGCAACGTTGTTTAGTTTACGATATTATGTTTTTGCTGATTTTTGTTTCTTTGTTTTTGTTGTTGATGTTGAAAATTTTGTACTTCTGATTTCTATTTGTTGTTGTTGTTGTCGTTGTTTTGTTGTTGTTGTTATTGGTGTTGGTGGTGGGGTCTTGTGTGTCGGTTGCGATGTCTTTGGCGTTGTTGTTGCTATTATTGTTACTTTTAATGTTACCAAATTCTTGCCAAATCCGTAAAAAATTTGCAGTAATTGAATTAGGAAGGAAGAAAAATTGTTTGTAGTAAACTTTATACAACATTCGTTTTTATAGTTTTTGTTCATTCGTTCAAATTCTAGTCGAAGGTTTAAAAGTTACATTTAATTTGAATCTTCTAGACAGCAATTAACTTTGATACGTGCCGAACAGCATAAGAACGTCTGTGGTGTGAACATTCATTTATTTATTTATTCATTTAACCATCCATCTATTCATTCATTCATCCATCTATTTGTCCATCCATTCATCTCAACAAATCTTCATTTACTTGAATGAATGAATGAACGTAAGAACGGCAACCATGAAAATACCCCATGTACAATACAAATTTGCATAAAATACACATGTGTATACAATACACATAAACAACACACATTATAATACACATGCATATACAATACACATGTATATTCAATACACATGTATATACAACAATACACATGTATATATATATATATATATATATATATATATACAGATATACAGATGTGTATACAATACACACATCCAGGTATTAAAACTGTAGGTTCAAACAAATCATTACAAAATTTACATTTTACCGCTACCAAGCAAATTGTCAAACAACGTTAAAAAGGCTGGTACTTCGAAAGCACATCGAGTCAGAAAGAACGACGAATCACTGGTGAAAAGATAACATTAGAAAACATAACTTTATGTCATAAATGTAATCTAGCTTAATAACACTAATTACAGTGACATCACATGATGACACAAAATGACGCTGTCTATACATTTACGTGTGTGTTGTTTGCATCGGTGCATGCATGCAAGGTCTTCTTCACGAAGCTTTCCTTTTCAATATAAACATTTTGAAAAATGTTTTCACGAAGCAATAAATTGGTCCTTAACAGTGTTATCATAACAGAAACAATCCTTTCATTCAATGTTTACGTAATTATATTTTCTAATAAAAGCACGCAGTTCATGATTTTGTTTTGATCACCTGCAAAAATCATTCCAGTTTTCAGATAGGTTATTTATAATAGATTGATTGAATGTTTTGTACTTAAGAAAACAAAGAATGAAGATATTTTAAGGAAAGATGAATAAAAACAAAAAATCGAGATAAAGAATAAAAAAGATGGGTAGAGAAGAGAGTGAGTGAGGGAGTGAAAGAGAGAGAGAGAGAGAGAGAGAGAGAGAAAGAGAGAGAGTGTCAGAGTCAGCAGCGGGCAGTTTTGTCAAGTACATTTTTGAAGTTTAACTTTTTTCTGTGTCAAACGCAGAGCTGTTTATTCTAAACTTGTAGATAAAACTTTCGTACCACAAAGACCGTACACTATCCACACCGGACCAGACGGCGCGCATACACATTCTGTACGCACGTTCAAGCACCGCATCATACGCGTATGATGGTATTTTGAGTTTCGGAATGACAGTATTCGAACCATACCATCGCGTACTAGTAGCGCGAGATATGGCACTCCTACCCGCTGAGCTAACTTGGAATATAATCACATGAAAACCAACACAACAAAATCAAACTTTTATTCATTTCTCAAACCATCATCTCAATTTCAGAAAATTTTTAAATAAAAATTAAATATTCATTATTCATTCAATTTTTTAATTCTAAATTCGATTAAAAATCATAATTATGACGTAAAATTTTTTTTATTTAACAATCTAAATGCGAAATAATATTCAATAATTTATCTATTGTGTAATGCTTAATCAAGGTGTGCGTGTGTTTGTATTAACATTCTTATATCTTCTATACTTGTAGTCTCACTGCTTATGCAAATGTAATTGTGTGTGAATGTGCATGTGCTTTCGTTCATTCATATAATTAATTAATTGATTAGTGAAATTAATCAATTAATTTGAGTATTTAGTTAATTGATTTACACTAAGTACTGTTGAAAATTAATCAGTTAATCAATCAATCAATATAATATTATTTATGTTTGTTTAAATTAATGCAGTTGTGATGAAATGATTGTCCGTTTTCATTTTTTATAATTGTCAATCAATTTATTTCATTTGTAAAATAAAATAATTTCAATATATACCTTATACTAAAGACATTGTGAAACAATCAATCAATTGATCAATCAACCAACTAACTAACCAACCATCCAACAAACCAACCAACCAACCAACCAATCAATCAATCAACCAACCAATCAAACAACTAATCCTCTCATATTATGTTTTTATCATACGAGGAGTATGAATAGAAATAGGAATAGGAGTATGAGTAGGAATATAATTATCATACTCTTGTTAATACAACCAATTAGAAAATGAAATATGGAATGATAAGAATTTAATTTATACAAGGTAAATTAATAATAATAATAATAATAAATAATAAGAGTTATAGTTATTAATAATTATTTATACTGTTATTAATTATTCTATTATTGAGAAAGTAAAAATATTAATTTTTTCGTCGTAATAATAATAATAATATACTATCAATAATATTAATAATAATAAAAGCAGATACTATCGCCTTATGAGTATATCAAAGCAAGATTCATTTGGATATACATGTAAACGAAACGGAAGGTACAACGTTTTGTTATAATGGTTATAATATTTTTAAAAAAGTGACCATAATTTGAGGTAAAGCTGGTTTTTTTTGAAAGATAATACGTTTGTTGTAAATGTTATAACATTATTGCAGTAATTCATATTAGTTTAATTTAGTTTTTATATTAATATAATTATATTTTACTTTAAAATAATTAATAATTAGTTAGAACTTGGAAGCGGCAGTTTCTTTCTCACCATCCGCCGACCCTGACTTGGAGACGCCGTCAGAACTGATCCCACTGGTTCCCGGCTGGTCCGATGCATGCAGTTCAATTGTTGGGACCTCCTGAGTTTTCTGCTGACCGATGGAGTAGTTGGAGGTGACCGTGGAATCCCCTCCCGTCTTCCCACTGCGGACCGACCCTCCAGACGACGACATTTCCGACATTCGAGTGTTGGCTGCAGACACTTCGGTCTTCAACGGCTTGCCGAGTAAGTAGCGGAATGGGAGTTTGCTCTTGCGCAGGGCATCTCTGTACCTTGGATGGCTTAGCGCGTAGATGATCGGATTCCACGCCCCGGAAGCTTTGGCCAGCATGACTGGGATTTCAGTTGTGTAGGGAGTGACTAAGTGACTGTGGCCCGCCACTCCCAGCATGGCTACTGTGACGTAAGGAAGCCACGTGACTATAAAGAAGAGTACGTTCACGGCAACGACTTTAGCAATTTGAATTTCTTGTTTGGTTTGGTTGGCTGTATCCTTTGACATCCGACCCATCTCCTTCCTGTTCTGAGCCACTGCATTCACGATGCCCACGTAACAAATCAGCACCAGCGAAACTGGCAGGATGAACTGAAATGTAACAAAGCACATGTTAAAAGAAATGTTGTTTGTCGTTCGAGTCAGGTAGTCCCAGGTGCAGCTGAAACCAAAACCTTCAGGCATGAATGCACCCCAGCCGAACCACGGCGGCAGCACCCAGCCGATGGCATAGCACCAAACAAAAATAATTTGTTGGAGACTCCTAGATTTGGATGCAGCTTGCATCATGTACAAAGGTTTCGCAATAACCATGTAACGATCAATTGAGATGGCAGTCAAGGTGTTGATGGATACCAGGCCACTGACTCCTGCCACAAACGCGTACCACTGACAACCTGCATGTAATTAGAACATCATGCAATTAAAACATCATGACCGTTGATTAGCTTTAAACTAATTAGTCAAATTCAACATTTTTATCAAATTACACGAGTTTCGCATGTTTTTGATATTAAATTCAAGCGCAACTCAAAACAGAAAATGTTCTTGTAAAAATTGTTCATGTTATTATTTCAGTAAAATTGAAAAATGCAACCAACTGACCAACAAATCCCCAGATCCAATATTTTTTGAAACACGCCAGAGCCATCATGGGAAATCCGATGATGGCTGAGAACATGAGATCGCAAGTGGCCAGGTTGATGACCAGCATGTTGGAGGGGGTCTTCAGGGATGGGGTGCTGATGCAAAAGGGTAACGATGGTCATTGTGTAGGTTAGACATTGTAATAAAAATGTTGATACAAAAATTTATTTTTAACGAAATAAGTAAAATGAAAATTTAAACAAAATTAAGTAAATATGAAACATAAAATGGTAGCAGACGTGCGATTATTTATTATTTTCACAACTCTCTTATTTAACTCTCATAAGTAACAACGACAACGATGCAAACCCAGCGCAAGTAAATACGCGCCAAAAAAAGCATCTCATTCATAATACCACATGGCAGACGGGATCTCTCTACAATCGAACCCAGTTACGCAACTGCGGGACCATGCAATCGCGAGACTATACAACTTCGAGATCATGCAATCGCGAGACCATGCAATCGCGAGACCATGCAACTGCGAGACCATGCGTCTTGACCTTTACACCACATTGCAGCTCGATCTTCAATATCTATCCCATCATGATATCATTTTATGTTTTTATAATCGGCATCCACATTTAAAAGAACTGTCTCGAAGACTTTTTATTGAATTCAGTTGTAAAAGAGGTCCTAACGTGGTGAATATCCAGAGAACGATCATGTTACCGATTGTTCCGATGAAGGCAACGATTGTAATGTAGATTCCCAGGATTATCATGAAGCCACCTGGCGCTTCGTCAATCACCTGTATTGTAGAGATACAAGTGTGTTTTAAAGTGTTTATGTGTGGATTGAGGTTTATGTGATGCTGCTGTTTGAATGATAAAATTTACATAAAATGATGTCTGAATGATTTATTTTACGTTTTGTTTGTTCATTGTTTGTGAATATTTTATAAAAGTAATTTCTATTTTCAGCATCCGATTTTAATTTGTAATAATTTGAGATTGCAATCAAGAATCCCGTAATTGAGAGTAGCGACAGTAACAATCAGCCAACCAACCAACCAACCAACCTGTCGATACTGGTCCCAATGTGGATGTATGTACATGCCGTGTTCGTCATACCTCTTAATTGTAGTGGTGGCATTCAGGTAGGTCGAGTTGTAATCGAAAACCGCCCAACTACCCACAGAACTGGGCGTGGTCACGTTGGCGAGTGTCTGGGGGAGAGCCATTGGCCACAAGGGTGGGGACATTAGGGAGGATAGTGATAATTCTGATGATGATTGTGGTGGTGCTGATGGCTGTGATGATGACGACGACGATGATGAATATTTTGATGGAGAGGTTTGTGATGATGTTGATGGTGATGTTGATGGCGATGATGACGGTGATGATGATTGAGGCAGTGAAGAAGAAAAAGAAGATGATGATGAGGAGGGGGAGGAGGAAAGTGGCAATGATGGTGATGATAATTTGAATGAAAATGAAGAAGACGATGATGATGAAGATGGTGTTGCGGGAGAGGAAACCGATTCCATTTCCGGTGTAGACATCTGTGACGATGACATCAAGATAGCCGCCAGCAAAAACATGATGGTGAGAAATATTTTCGGCATTGTTTCACTTTAGTTTCAAACTGTCATTCGGAATAACTTTTGTTTTGGCATCAGTTGGATCGATTTCAATTCGATTTTTAACCTTGAAAATAATATAAACTTGTTAACATTATTTAACTATTCTAGAAGTTTAACAAATTTTCAATTTAAAACATGGGTATTCAATCTTATTTGTTTGTTTTTAGGAAAATTATTATCATCGTAATAAATATTTTCTAGAAATAAGTAATAGTTTGCAGACGACAATTTTTAAAGGACAGTATCGGTTTCTCTCATTATCCTGCTCTCTACTCTGATTTTTCAGATTTTAGAAAAGATGATGACCGGAACAAATACTCAACCAGCTCATGCCCACAGATTTCATTATTTGCTATGTTTACTGATATCTACAAAAATTCGACAGATGAACGGTCAAAAAAGCTGATGATTTTCCATGCTAATGATGGTTACTAGAAAAAAATTCTACGCTAAAAATATCCTTCCAACATTCTAAAAACACCAGTATAAGATAATTGTTTGATTGACGCGTTTAATTTGACGTCATTAAGTCGATGTGACGTGAAAGATGTCTCCTTCCAAGTCAGTGTGGCATGCGAAAAAATGTTTTTAAGATGTATGTTAGGTATTTGTTTAAATTGTTAGGCATTCATATCAGTTTGGTATTTATTTTAATTGAGTATTTAGTTCATTTTTAAATTCAAATGATTTAACAACATGCTGGTGTTTTTGTGTTATATTAGTTGAGACTCAGCAATAACTCAGCAATGATAAAATGTTGATAAACACAAGAAGTATCAACACAAAGTACTCCGCCATCGTTAAAATATATGTAATTATGCGTCATTACATCACTGCTGTTACCAGTGGCGGATCTAGACAAATTTGACTGGGGGCCAAATTTTGAAAATGTCCTAATTTTTTTCTGGGGGAAGCCGAAATTTGTCGTCGTGTGGCTGAAGACCTTTTTATGCCTATCACGTCTAATTTTTGGTCCGATTTTCTTACCTAAAACGGTCCTTCTTCTGATTTCTATTAAAAACTGCTCTCACAGGGGTCACAACGGCCCTTCCCTTGACTGTTACAAAATATTTAAAAGAGTAATACTAACAAACTCATTTTTGATTCTGACAAAATAAAAAGTTTTAAAGTTTAAAATTAAGACATAATTTTCTTAATAAATGGCTATTGGCTACTTTTTATTGAAAAGCACATTCTCTACCACCATCATATGATGACTCATGGTAGAGAGTTCTTCTCATTCCTCAGACTAACTTATAAACCTGCCATTGTTACCATTGAAAATGCATTGTATTTCTTTAAATATCTATCATTCATCAAATAAGAAAATTTGTATCATCCTAATTACACGTTGAATCCATATAAAACATATTTCCTATTGACATATTGAAAGATAATTTAAATATACAATTAAACTAATATACACTTTTTAAATATTTAATATTTATGAAATAATTTAACCAAAAAAGAGAAATAACTTTAGTGAATAATGACAATTTTACAATAAATATCAAGCTTATATTTAACATTAAAAAAATATCGTACTAACTAAATCACCTCCGAAGATTTAGATGGATGGCTAGAATGGTGAATAAGAAGATGGATTAACAAATGAATTAAAAGTTCATGGAGTGAATAACGAATAAATAAATGAATAAAAACGAAAGGATTGATTGATGAGAACGATGAATCGATGAATCAATGAAGGAATGAACGGATGGATGGATGGACTGCTAAAGGCACGACTCGCCACCACAACTGATCAATCAATCTTTAAACCTCATTTCAATCATCTGCTTCCCGTTTTATATAACATCACCAAGTTGTATTTTACTTTCACAAGTATATATACGCCGTGTGTATGTGTGTATTGTATATGTGTGTACTGTATATGTGCACTGTATATGTGTTTACTGTATATATGTATATGTGTGGTTCGCATATACTCTGCATGTTGAAATAATGAGTAAGTCATCAACACACGCACACACACACACACACACACATATGACACACACACATATATATACATACAAATGTTTATATATACACATTTGTGTTTCAAATTTCTTACGTGAAGCAGAAGTAACTTTAAAGCAACGCAACGAACAGATCAAGCATGCATCCATCATTCCATAAATCCATTCATCCATTTTAATATTCATTCACTTAAAAACTCCAATAATTCATTCACTTAAAAATTCATTCATCTATCCATTCAATTATCCATTCAATCATCCATCAATCCATTCATCCATCTATTTATCTCTTTTCTTTGGTTCGTCTAAGTTCACGTGTGTCTACGAAGCACAAATACTTAAATGACGTTGTTAATTTTTTTTTGACATTTTGAAGCAGTTTCTTCAAAGTCATGGCAAGTAGGTAGGTACTCATCATTGGTGCTTCTATAACATTTAAATTTACGGTAGATGGGTGTGTGTTATTTGTAAGTGCAAAACATTCGCGCGTGCCTGAGTTTGCTATGCGTCAAGCGTTCTGTACGCGCGCGTGTGTGTGTGTGTGTGTGTGTGTGAGTGGGTATATGTGAAGATTTGAAATCACATACACATATCGTTAGAACTGCATGATGTCATTGGCACTTAATAAATGGACCGGTTGTAATGCACAGGAAATTATTTAATTATAAGTTATGGCAAATGCTTAAAAGTACCATTTTCATCATTCATGTTGTCTTTCATTCCTTATCTCTCACTTTCAGTTTTACTCTCTCTCTCTTTTTCTTTCTCTGGTTATTTTTTCTTTTTTCAAGTTTTTTTTTCTATTTATAGTTTTAAAATTTTTATTTTTAGCTTTTATTTTGTATTCATATAAATGGCTTTGCAGATAATGTGTCATATCGTCGCATACGCATATGCAGTCTCTTTTAATGAGTACGTGTGAGTGTGTTGTGTGTGCGTGTGTGTGCGTGTGTGTACGTGCGTGTGTGTGTATTCATTCATTTGTTTTTGCAAGCATCTATTCATTTTTGTTTGTTCGTCTAATTATCTTTCCATCTTTCCATCTATTCATGGTTCAAATTATCCATTCATCCATCCATTCATCTATTTATCAATCCATCCATCCATCCATCCATCCATCCATCCATCTATTCATTTATTCATCCATTCATCTCTCCATCCATCTATTCATCCATCCATCCATCCATCCATCTATCCGTCCATCCATTTATTCATCTACCCATCTATTCGTCTATCCATCCATCCATTTATCTATTCATACCATATATGCTTCGATTTATTTGATGTTTGAGGACATTAGAAACGACTTTTCATCATTCACTGTCCTCATCGTCATCATATTTTGAATAAAAAATTAACTTGAAGGTGATTCAGAAAAGTGAGTGGCTGACCAGGATATGATTTTTAGAATGACGATTGTTTTTAGCAATAATTTTTTCTTGCAATACGACAAAGGTCACATTACTCTAAATCTTTACTAGACCGAAGCAGACCTGCACTGGCAAAAGTAAGAAAGCATTCGACTTGTGATTTGTTTATTTTGAACAATTTATATTCCATGAATTAATAAGGTCTACGCACACCCATTAATGAATTATTTAAATTTTTATTTAAAAAAACAAAATCATAAAAAGATTTTTCATGTTTTCCGCTGTGTGTTTTCAACAAATTCAAATCAGTTATAATCAATTAAATTCACAATGTCCAACTCGCAATTTATAGAAATTAAAACTCTAACTCAGGTGGAAATTTTGCGTTATTTTCAATTTGTCTTAATAGCCTGACTGTCATGTGTGATAATTGATTCAGTCTATTAGAATGGAACGCACATGTGGAAAGTAAAGTAAAGTAACTCGTTCCTCCCTCAGCTTGATGTTACATTATGCTGCGTTACATTTGTTGTTAATGTAGATGTTTTATTCTTCTGAAGAACATTTTATTATTTTCTTTTAATATTAAACTTCTCGTTCATGTAGTAAACCTGTCTGGCTTGTATACAATAAAATAGTGAATCTCAAATAAAAAAAAATCTCAATTTTAGCAGAAGTTACAGACGCTAAACAAGAGGAGTAATTTTTTAGTTTGTTTGTCGAACTGTTTTGAAGACAGAACTTCACGCACACATGCATAAAATGACAGAAAGACAGACAGACAGAAGAGACTTTGCGCACAGAACCTCAAGTAGTAAACCATCAGAAAGATCATCAAACAGAAATGCGACAGATGGTTTGTCTGCCGGTTCATATCTACTGTGGCTGTTTCAAATATTGTTAACTAGTTGTTAGCCAAACTTTTAATTTTTCAGTCCTGTTATAACATTCAATTTTTCACCAGTCTTGAGTTTCTTTCATCAAAAGTATTTTTTTTACGATATTGTAATGAACAATGGGTCTTAATGCTGTCGGATGCTCATTTATGAAAACTATACGAATGGTAGGGTAGGTACATATCTATTTAAGAAAACAATCAGTGACCAAAAAAGGTTAAAGGTTT